ACAACCGGTCCAGTATTTGAGCTTGAGTGAATGACGCAAGGCAAACATTCACTTTGCATTCTGACTGAACACACTCAGAGTCAGCAGTCATGCTAGCAGCTGTAAGTGGTACTCAGAACACAAAGTAGTTTTTATGTACAGATTAGTTGCTACACTGCAAACAAAGCTAGGCTAACTAAACCAAGTGAAAAACCCATATCAGCTTGATAACCTGTTTCAATTGAAAAATAAATGTGACATCTGACAACACCCAATAATGTAAAAAAAGAAAATGTTAGTGAAAGACAACAAAAATCATTAAGGAAAGTAAAGGTAAAGGTAAAGTCAGGAGAAAAAAAATCAACCAGTAAAATAATCAATTAAAAGCAAGGTCATAAAAATAGGCTTTGAGCTGTTTCTTAAAATTGTCGACTGAGGTTGCCTGCCTATTGTGAAGGGGGAGCATGTTCCAGATCCTCAGTGCATAACTACAGGGGGCTTTAAAAACAAGTACAAGAATTTTATCTATCCTATCACAATAACTATCTATCCTAAACATTACAGGAAGCCAATGCAAGGACGCTAAAACTGGGGTGATATGATCCCTTATCCTGGTTTTAGTTAAAATTCTTCCAGCCGAATCCTGTACAATTTGCAACCAATCAATAATTGTTGTTTTTTTTGGTAAATCAGAAAAAAGTGTGTTGCAGTAATCTAAGCGGGAGAAAACAAAGGCATTGGTCAGTTTCTCTGCGAGGGAAAGATACGGTCTGACTCTTGCAATATTTCTCTGGGGATAAAATGCTATCTTAGTAACATTGCTGATGTGATTTTCAAAATCAAGGACAGGGTCAAGTGTAATGCCCAGATATTTCACACGTGGTTTTACTGGTAAGGCCAAGTTTCCGAGTCTGCTTGTTAATTTGTGTCTTTGTGTGTTGTTGCCTATGATAAGGAGTTCAGTTTTGTCCTCATTTAATTTTAATGAGTTGCCACTTATCCACTGCACAATGCTGGAGTAGTAGTTTAGCAAAGGGCTGAGGGCATCCTTTTCATCAGGGGTTATAGAAAGATACAACTGAGTATCATCAGCATATGAATGGAACTCAACCTCATGGGCACAGACAATATCTCCAAGCGGGAGCATATAAGAAAACAAAATCAGAACAAGTATCAAGCCGTGGGGAATACCATAGAGAAGGTTGTGCCTCTCGGAGACATAATCACCAAGGTAGTGAGGTAGGTCTTAAACCGGTTGAGTGCAGTTCCTGTGAGACTAATGAGGCTTTCCAGTCTGTACAGAAGTATTTTGTGAACAATGAGTCAAACTCTGCACTTAGGTCAAGGAGGAAGAGGACACAGACATCCTTGTGGTCTGTTCTTATTCTAAGGTCATTTATAAGTCAGTGCTGTCTCTGTGCTATGTCCAGATCTGAAACATGACTGAAATTTTTCATATGAATTGTTACTGTGTAGAAAAGCCACGAGTTGATTCAACACTACCCTTCCCAAAATCTTGCTTAGAAAGGGGAGATTGAACATAGGCTTGTAATTGCTCACAATAGATTAATCAAGTGTTGGTTTTTTGAGTAGTGGCTTGACTAGAGCTTTTTTAAGTGTCTCGAAAAACACCTGTTTCTAGGGAGTGGTTGACAATGTCGGAGCGTCAGGAATAAGACTATCTATAACGTCTTTGAAAAAGAAGGTGGGGACGGGATCGAGAGAGCAAGTGAAGGATTTCAACTGCAAGACTCACATTATGACTGAGAGGAAAGCTGTACAAGTTCGTCAGGGCGAGGGCGGTTTAGGAGACGGAAAATTGTTGAGAATAGAATTTTTGGGTTATTGGCATTTTGCAAATAATTTTAGAAAAATATGCCTGCTTTTCACTTCGAAGGGCCTTGTCATGATGAAATGTGAGTTTGGCTTTCCTCCACATTCACTCTGCTACATTCCCTCTTAAGGACATCACAAAAAACAATGTACAACAACATACCATGAGCTTGCAGTTGATTAGTGTAATGAGATATTCCGACTTCTTCTAAACGACATGAATAGCACTACTGGCTCTGAAACTCAGTTCAACTCAATGCAAGGGATTGGCAGTTAAACACCTGAAACTGTTAGTTCAAGCCATGCTAGCTGCATGACTCAGAGAGGGCAAACTTGTTCTGTCAGATGAGTGAACGAGTGTCGTGTAAACAGAACTGAATAATAAAATATGTATATAATACAATAAATAACTGAATATTTGACTTATCCTGTGAAATATCTCAACAGCCTTGGACCAGATTGACAGAAAATTATGTATAAATACTCATGGTTCTTCTCTAGTGCCACCGTGAGGTTGGCATTTAAGGTTTTGGGTTTAATGTCTCACCAAACACTGAATGCACTGGCATTAAATTTAGGACATGCATTCATGTTCTCTTCAGGATAAACTGTAACAGCTTTGGTAATCAATTCACATGCCAAAGTCGTATAGTGCTAATCTGCTGACGTGGTAAGCTGTACCTCTAAAACATCAACATTGTCCTTGTTAGCTTTTAGTGTTAATTAACCAGCTTTAATTTAGTGATGTGTAAATATCCACTTCTTAAAACACTTGTGTTATAAGTAAGTTTTAACTTAGATTGAATGGCTGGTGCAAATGGCCAACTGGTGGATGAGTCATGAAGGAAATGATCATCTTAATTTTTAGTATTTATTGCTCCATCCATTTTAATGTTTACTCACTGCATTTATCAGGGATTTTAAGCCGGCGCTTCCAATCACCGAAAACTCAGTTTCATCAAAGAAAACCAAAAGGAAATGAAATACAAAATGATATCTCCAAAGGGAACTCTATTGTGTGGGTTGAGCTGAGGTACCGTATATATTTCTATAGAAATATGTTTTCTCAGTTTCCTCAATACAATCAGCATCGGAACCTGTACACTGATATCAGCACTTAACTGTGCAGGTGATGTATGGGTTGTGCGGTGGGATAGCACCACGGGAATGATCGCTGCAGTGATGAAGATGGAAAAAACGTCTTATCAGCTGCAGCATGGTGCTCCATCCCCAACCACCTCCCCACCCCCACCCCACCCCTTGAAGAGAACCTGCAGATTTGTTCTATTTTCCAAATTTATATGATGTCTAATCTAGTAACTAATGGGAACTGATCAGCTAGCACAGGAAGTGGTGAATGAAAATTAAAAAGTGAAATATTGACCAGTGCCTAAACAGCTGTGAAAGATGGCTGCAAGTGATGGGTCACAGTGGATGAATCTCTTCCTAACACTCCCACACCAGCATCTTTCAAAAATCCATAAATACCTTCTCCTGCCACAGCCACAAAAGTTTGACGCCATCAGTGTGAATTTAATGCTTCTCCACAGGGTATTTCATAACATCTTCATGTAGCATGGGGGCAGGGGTCAGGGGAAAACAACCTATAGCTCTCTTATGCTATAGTTCCTCAATGGTTAACTGGGCTGAATGGCAAAATATGAACAGAGTGAGTGTGTTTGTGTGTGTGTGTGTGTGTGTGTGTGTGTGTGTGTGTGTGCGTGCGTGTGTGCGTGTGTGCCATCTTAATACCATTCTCACTTCCACGAGGTCTAAGGATTTAACCTAATATGAGAAAATGTGTATTGTTCTCTTGCTGAAACAGAGGAAATGCAGAGGAATTGCAAGCATTTCTCACCTGAGATAAAGAGGAATAACAGACGCAGATATAATATAGATACAGCCTAACTGTTACAAGTGGCAGTCTGAATCAAACACAGGGATGCACATTTTCTCCCCCTCTCTCTCACACACGTTATACATAAAATAATTCACATATGTGCTTACAAAGATGTACACACACACACACACACACACACACACACAAACATCTGGGCAAACAGAGACAGTTGCAACCACAGAAATGCACATACAGAACATACTGTTCAGATATGCATATAGAGGCATACACAACCACACATCTCACCACACATGGACACACACATACACACACATGCTGAAACACATGAACATGTAATGATACACACTCAGAATGTTACCCGTAAAAAAAAAAAAAACGGTTTGTCTCACACACACACACACACACACACACACACACACACACACACACACACACACACACACAAAAGAGAGCAGGGCTTTTTATGTGTACAATTTCAATTCAGCCTCACTGTCATAAGGAGCCATCACATTGAAGAATGAGGCTCTTACTCACCGGAATGTTCACAGAGAGGGAGAGAGGCTGTATAGACATGAAGATATAAATCTCACTAACGTATTTCGGTGGAATAGAAAGTATGATATGGACGTATGAAACTTAACAGTTAAGCCACAGTGTGAACAATTGTTGGTTGCGTTTTTTTTTGCATGAACAACATGAACAAAAAGACAACCGGGTTGTTCCACTCACTGAGCATCACACAGCTTCCTTCAACATGTGGAACAAAGAAAGGATCCTCTGATGATCACCGAGTACAGAGACTTTTACAGGTGCACTTTTACATTAACTTACGGCTGCAAAGAAGCAAATTAAGCAAAAGTTTCTTGATTATTTATTCGAGGGGGAGGGCGAGGGGTCAATCTTCAACCAAGGAAACAAAGTAAAATCACAGCCTGTTCTCCATCCCCTTCGGAGGAACTGAGGTTTCACCAAAATGCTTTTACTTATCAGCTGTTTTTTCTTTTTTTTTCTTTTTCTTTTTTTTTTTCAAGCAAATCAATAGCGACTCTTCTGCCATGTGACAGTATCATACCTCACTTTGGTTTTTATTCGGCATCGCTGTTACATTTATACATTCCGTGTTTTCCTATTGATGATTTAGGAGAATAATGGCAACAACAAAAAAATTCCGCAAATGATCTTTTTTTTCTCCTTAAATTCCTTCACATCAACGTGTTTTGTAAATGTGATGGAATAGACTGGATGGTTGGAAGGTTGTTTTATTTTTCGGTGATTTTGCCATTTGTCGTGCTTTTACAACAGATCCACAGGAGAAGCCGCAGCTTACCTGTCCAGAGCGATGGCAGTCATGGAGTAGATGCTCGCGAAGACAGCCGCGATCGGAAAGAAGTTGTGGAAGCGGCAGTAGACCAGTCCGAAGTACCACTCGTTGTGTACGGCGTAGGTGAAGTTGATGACCGTGTTGAAGGCGGACATGGAGGCTTCGGCGAACGCCAGGTTCAGCAGAAAATAGTTGGTGACGGTCCTCATGCGCTTATGCGCTATAATAATCCAGATCACAGTAATGTTACCTACAACGGACACAATAACTATACAACTGTACGCAATGGCCCAGAGGACGATTCTCCAGACTGGCTGCACAAACTGGTTCCAGTATACAGTCCCGTTATTGGTGTCGTTGTAGCTGGTGGTCCAGTTTGGCACATCGGTGGAATTGAATAAAGGATCCATTTTGCTGTTTAAAACCGAAAGTCACACTAAACCGCTGGATCTAAGCCTAAATCATTACACAGCAAAGATAAAGATCCCGCGCACAACGTAAAGAAATGAAAGAAAGTTTCAGAAAGCTTCACCGCTGCAGTTTACATAACTGTGCTCTGCGGAATGTTCACTTGAAAACGTCAATGTCGTGGAAATCATAAACTCAGGAATTCAGTAGAGGTAATTCAAGTGGAAATTTCAACAGCAAGCTACCTATGTTGAAACTTTTACCCGTGCGTAAAAACGAAAACGCGCCTTTTACGCACATTTCAGCACAACTGCAAGTCTGCGTCCCCCCTAACCGGTCACTCATATCAAAGCCAGCGAGCTCTGCTCCTTCCTCTCTCCCTCTGCGGCTCTGCGCTGATCGTTTGCTCACCAGCTTATGGAGTGAGCGCTGCGCACCCGTCCAATAGGCAGCCTCTGTCATTATGACTATGGATGAGCCCAGGTACGTTATTCATCCCGACCGAGAAGACCGCACGGAGAAGACAACAGGATTATCATGGCTAAGTAGCTGTTATCCGATTAATTTTGCTTATAATTCCTTTATTGGCAAGAACAAACGCACTGGCAGGAGAATGAATGAACGAATTCAGACTCATGATAGATAATTACAATGATAACATGGATATAATCAATCAAACTTCATTTGTATATCACCTTTCATACAGGTTAGTGCAGTTCAAAGTGCTTGACAGATGACACATGTAGACTGCAATAGTGAGTCACAGTCATACTGATGGCAGCAGTAGTGGCATCGCTGATGTCATTCATCTTGAATAAATAGATTTAATGTCCAAACACAACTTGTTGTTGGTTTGTAATGGTGGTGAGCCATACTGACTGACTGCCCCCTCTTGTGGCCTCATGGTCTGGACTTTGTGTTGTTATAATAATCTCTGGCGCCTCGTAATGTAACAATTTAAATCATTATTACTTGACTCATGAGGAAAAAAAACAATGTAAAGACATGCTCAGTACACATACTAGAGACAGGATCACTTCGAGCAGGGCAGTGCCTGATATTTTCCTGTTATTGTTTGCAATATCAAGCTGTATATATTTTATCAGAGCCACGTTTGCGGCTCCATTTCTCATGTCTGGATCTGCAGGGATTTACCCAGAAGAGCCGTGTGAGAGGATGAATGAGCTCATTAAGAGCCATACTTCCAGGTTCCCCACCAGACCCCTGACAGCACTAAAAGGTTGCAGAGTGAAAAGTCACTTGACCTCAGTGAACTAACTTTAGCCACAGGTTATGATTGATATGATTGATATTTATATTTTAGCATAATGTTAGTTAGTAGGTTATGTAATGTGCAGATAATAATGCTATGCCTCATTACAGCCTCAAAGAGCCATTATCCTGCCTGTAGACTATTACTTTTGTTAAAACACAGTGTCATCTACAATACAATGAACTTAATGCATCTGCATTTAACAACATAAAACAGCTTCTGGCTGTTTTAAATTCCCGAGAGCCTGCGAAAATATGTCCTGAAAATGTTGTAAGCGACATGCAGATTTTTGTATGGAACAGTTGGCTTGGCTCAGACCACCTGTGGCTGTACTGCATCAATCGTGCTTCAGAAATAAAAAAATATAACCACATGCCATCCAGATATGACTGGATTTTATCCATCATTTAAAGCAGAGTTGTCCACAGCAGCCTGAGGCAAGCTGCTGATTACCAGAACAATATTCTCATGAATAAATAAATGAAGTTACATCAATAAAAAAAATAATAAAATTAAAAAAAAGTAATGCCTGCACACTGACTCCAAGCCACAAAGTTGATTCAAAAGACAATGTTTTGATCACAGTTGATCTGACTTTGTCAGGTCAAAATTCTTGAAAATAGACACCACACCCAAAAATACAGTGTGTGTATATATGACACACACACACGCTCTTTGGTGACAGGTGTTAATTACCATCCAACCCACACAGAATGATAAACATCTCAAAGCAATTAACAGTTGAAGGTACATCTCAAACAGTAGACACACTGTATAAAGGCAATACATCATATTAACAAACCAGAAAATATATCAAAATATCAGAAATAAAATTATAAGCTTGAGAAAGTGGAACTAAAAATGTTTTTATAACCCAATAAGTCACTTCAGAAAATCTACACATATATACATTTATTATTTGTATATTATTGTATTTGACTTTTAACACGGTGTGTGTGGTGGCTGAAGATCTGCGGAGATATCAGGAAGTGTTACCTTCAATTAGTGAAAACAAAAATTAGATTTCATATTCCTTATTAAACACTCATGGTATTAGGGTTTGGAGAGGGTCCTCTTCTTGTAGACCTACATGCACCATACCAAAGGATCACAGAGATGATCTGCCTCTCTGAAACTTATAAACAGGAATCTTTCATTTACGATGCTTTTAAAAAGCCTCACACCTGTACCTTGAGTTAATCTACTATATCACCAGGTTATATAGTTAAAAACAAATACCACCATAAAGTAGAACCAGAGTAGATCACTGTAGAAACACTGCAGCCACAATCCCACAGAGAGAATCAGACACACTGTAGGGTTCCTAAGGATAAACTCCTCACATCTTTGAATTTGTTGGCGCAAATTTCCAAACAGACATTGGGATAAACAGGCCACATATTTTAAATTTAAATGGAACCTCTTATTTGAGAAAAAATAAATAAAAATTTTGTGGGTTAGGTACATATGCAAAAGTTTTCTATCTGTAATGTTGCTGTGTATCATTATCAAGCCTGAGCATTTGCAGTGTAGCAGTTCTTTTTGCACATTTTCCCTATTTGCACGTGGGATTTTCTTCCATTTCTGTTTTTGGAGCACATTGCCCTTAATATTTGAGCTTTCTCTCATTTGTGTTTTGTCCTCAGTGGGCACCATGTTATTGGAAAAAGAAAAGTCAGAGGTTTTTTGTCCCACGCCAAGGCCATAATTTACTACAGACTCACCGAGTGTAGAAAATCATGCAGGTCACATCTTTGACAGTATTTTGTGCCTCTCTTCTTACAGCTCATGTTCAGTGCACTGCAGGCTGTGGCTTTCATGCAAGCCTCTTCAGTTTTAATGCCAAGTACCCAGAAACTCATGTACCTCTTGTAGGATCATTTTGTGGTTTGCAGTCTTGAGGGCTCACTTGAAAAAGGAGAAGGCTATTTTATGTATCATAAAATATATGTGTATAACATCTCGACAGCTGTTGGCCAGATTACCATGGAATTTGATATAATCTTGCCTTTTTTCAAGCGTTAGTCAAAATTATCCCTTAGTCTATGGCAACTCTAACAGCTAAATATATATTTTTAAAAAAATCTGAATTCATGGTCTCCAGGGTGACCCTGAACTTTCCTTTAATGATATCAGGTAAAATTGCACAGGATTCATCCCTAACCCCAAGAACTGACCTCTGAATGCCTGCCTGCCCCCCAACTCAATGACTCCTGCAGACAAACCAAAAATGTTATCTCCTCTAACAATAATTCAATTATAGATGTGTCCGGCTGTGTCAGTTCTGCTCCTCCTTCTCAAGGACATTGTATTTCTCTTGGGAGAGTCTTCGAGCCACTCTGAGCCATCCTCTTTGTCACAACTGTCAGAGCTCCACGCTGGAGAACCAAGTGCTGCAAGCAGAAGACCTGAACAACACCAGTATCCAGCAAACACAGTAACATATTCAGGCTTATTTCACATACACACCACATTTCCAGGTTCATCAGTCACACTACTCTACTGTAGCCATGAAATCACCAAATCAACCACTATTTTTAATATATATATATATATATATATATATATATACACACACACACACTATCTGCTAACAGGGTGCACAGAATTCTCACTCAATTTAATTAGGCTGTAAATGAACATGTGATGACCTGTATTGCATAAAATTAAATTTAAATTTTATTAGCATATCTCATTATTTGTCTCAATGTGTTGTTGACATTTCGCTTAAAACTACAGATGTCAACATCATGGTGATGCTAGAAGAAAACACATGGTATCACCAAGTCAGTAGGACTACAATCTTCTGGAGACATTGACGGTTTCAATAAAATTTCATGGCTATCCATCCCATACTGATTGAGATATTTCAGTGTGTAACTGCACAAGGGAGTAAATGCAAAATGTCTGACTGGGAACCAGAATCAGGAGTCAGCTGGGCCGCCGTCAGCCAGGGCGGTTGGCGAAAGGCTCCTGGTCACTGGAGAGCAGAGGTTCTGGATAGTGGGGTAGTTGGGGCTCGTGCTGGAAGCTGGAGTTCTGGGTCTGAGGCTGCTTGGGGAACCGGCGTCTTGGTGACCTGTGTTTCTTCCCAGGTGGCTCCCTCCCCTAGATACCTCTCAGAGAAGGCCCGCCGGGTTGCCAAAAAGGAGACGGCTCAGGGACCTCCAGAGCCGAATCAAACAGAGGGTCAGCCAGCGTGCAAAGGGGCCTGATGACCAACGGGGGTGCTGGCTGACCGTGAGTCAACCTCAAAAAAAAGCCATGAAACTGGCGTATGCTGCTGGGTCCGTTCTTTGGTTGGTTCGTTGCAACCGCACAAGGGAGTAAATACAAAATGTTTTAATAACAAAAGAACTTACAAAACACTGGTGAAGCACAGGGAAACACAGGAGATAACAACAGCAGACACCGAGGACCATTACAGCAGACGAACCGACACAGACAAAGCGGATCACAGAGACTAAATAGACTCAAGGGAGGCAAGGGTGATTGAACACAGGTAAAACACATCAGGGCGGGGCAGACAATCACCACACAGGGAAACAGGACAAAGACAGGAAGTACAAACATCAAGAGACACACAAGGAAACTGACTACAAAATAAAACATAAACATAAACATAAATTGTCCGTCATGGTAAACCATGACACCTGCAGCACCGGTTTTGAGTCAGGGATGGATGAAATGCTACAAACCTACAAATGTGAGTTCTGTTTGGTTATTTCCAAAGGAAAAGTCATAAGTCGCCTCACATCAAACAGACATTTGACTGTTTTCATGCACATGTGACGAAATTAGAGGTTACATTGTATTTTGGTACGAACATTCAGTTGTCTATACCCGAGAAAACAGTACGTGTAGAAGAAGAAAAAAAAAAGGAAAAAAGTGTGTATACGATCTCTTTCAATGCTGTGTATAAGATTATCTTTTTATTCTTCTTCTATTTTGTGCAGCAACAAATTTCCTGTTTCAGTTGGAGACAGGTGAGGCTGTCCCAAAGC